AATGGAGCGCTGACTGCTGATCCTTGTGCCATGAAAGAACTTGCCGTGACCTTTTACAGTGACCTTTACAAGAAGCAGACATGTGACAGAGGATCCATGGAAACTTTGCTGGATGGTCTTCCTCAACTTACTGCTACAGATCGGGAGATTCTGGATGTTGGAGTCTCGATGGAGGAACTGACGGCTGCAGTTGGTCAAATGGGTTCTGGAAAGAGTCCAGGAATAGACGGTTTACCTGCGGATTTTTATAAACATTTCTGGAGGTTGCTGGGGGAAGACTTGTGGGTGCTACAGGAGTGCGCATCAACGGGATTTTTGCCGCCATCCTGTCGGAAAGCTGTTCTGTCATTGCTTCCAAAAAAAGGAGACTTGACTTTGTTGAAGAACTGGAGGCCAGTCTCTCTCCTGTGTGTGGACTATAAGTTATTTTCTAAAGTGCTTTCCAATAGACTGAAAAATGTTCTTAAATTTCTAATACATAGAGATCAATCGTATTGTGTACCTGACAGATCAATTAAGGATAATCTTTTTCTTTTGAGAGACCTGTTTGACATTTGTAGAATATATGGAACTGATGTGGGAATAATTTCACTGGATCAGGAAAAAGCTTTTGATAGGGTGGATCATGTTTTTCTTTTTCTACATTAAGAGCGTTTGGTTTCGGTGAGGGCTTTATGTCCTTCCTGGGGTTATTATACAATGAAGCAGCTTGTGTTGTTAAAGTGGGGGGCGGTTTAAGTCGTCCTGTGAAAGTTCGAAGGGGGATTAGACAAGGTTGTCCAATATCTGGTCAACTGTACTCTATTATAGTTGAACCTTTTTTGCATAGACTTCGTTCTACTCTTAATGGTTTTGTTCTTCCAGGTTTGTCACAGGGGTCAGGTTTAATAGTCTCTGCCTATGCTGATGATATAAATATTTTTATTCGGGATCAGAATGATATTGTGAATCTTCAGTGTTGTTTGGAGCTATATGAGAAAGCTTCTTCGGCTAAAGTGAACTGGAGAAGAGTTCTGCAGTTAAAGTTGGTTTATGGGAAATAAAACTCTCCCCACATTGCCTGGGAATATGCAGTGGGTGGATCAGGGTTCAAAATTTTTGGGTGTTTTTTTAGGAACAGAGACTGCTTTGAATAGAAATTGGGAGGGTGTCATGGAGAGAGTGTGTGCCAGATTATCTAAATGGAAATGGTTGCTACCTCAGTTATCCTATAGGGGGAGAGTGTTGGTAGTCAATAACTTGGTTGCTTCGGCCCTTTGGCATAAATTGACTGTGTTGACACCGCCAGCCTCCCTTATACAAAGACTCCAAAGGACTATAGTGGACTTTTCTGGTCCGGATGCCATTGGGTGAGGGCTGCGGTTTTGTATCTACCCGTGGAAGAAGGAGGACAAGGACTCATCCACATCACGTCACGGATTGCGGCCTTCAGGCTGCAAAGCTTGCAGAAGATGCTGTATGGAGTTGGACTGCCATGGCTGGATACGGGTCGTCTTCTTCTACGGAAAGCAGGAAGGATGGGGTACGATAAACATCTCTTCTTACTGAAGCAAGGTTCGGTGGACTTGACTGGACTTACCCCTTTCTATCAATCAGTGATAAACGCATGGAAGATTCTCACGTTTGAGAGAGAGACTCAAATATCACCTGGGATGTGGCTTTTTGAAGAGCCTTTGTTTGGAAATGGTTTTCTCTCGTCTCAACTCCTCTCATCCGTTACGCTACGATCTAAGATGATAGAAGTGGGTTGTGTGAAGTTGGGACATTTATTAAAGCTGTCTGTGGACGTTTTAATGGAGAAGTTGAGCATAAGGTCTAACAGACTTGTTTCAAAGCTGAAAGAAGAGGCGTGTGCGTCCTTGCCAGAGTCTATTAGAGCGTTTGCTGTTAACAGTACTCTGTCTGACCAATGGGATGATGAATGTGAGTACAGTTTTCCTTCCCTGATCGTCTCTCCTGCGGCAGATCATTGGCAGAACGAGACAAGTTTATTGTTGTCTATCCGAGACGGCCCATTGGGGCGTTTTGGAAATTTGGAAAAGAAGGTTTTATATCATACTTGTGTGAAGGTTCTGAATTTACGCTCTCTGGCGGGAGTGAAGGTGTCGAAGTGGACTGAGTTTTTTGACTCCAGCTCTACCCCGGGAGGCTGTTGGAGGTCCCTGTACAAACCCCCTGTAGAAAAACGGGTGGGTGACCTCCAGTGGAGGATTGTGCATGGGGCCATAGCTACAAACAGGTATCTGGCGCACCTTGATCCTGGCGTCAGCGTTTCTTGTTGTTTTTGTTCTCATGACGAAACATTATTTCATTTATTTGTCGAGTGTGAGAGGTTGAAGTCTCTGTTTGTTCTTTTAAGGCAGTTGTTTGATGGTTTTGGGGAATTGTTTTCAACTTGTATTTTTATTTATGGCCCACGGTATTGAGTGAGAAAGAAGTCCATTCACATTCTCTTGAACTTTCTTTCAGGAACTGCAAAACTGGCAACATGGCTATCAAGGAGGAACAAAAAGAACAGTCAACAAACAGATGATGCTTGTGTACTATTTAAGAGATTGTTGGTTGCTCGGATTCGTGTAGAATTTGAGTTTTTTAAGTTGACAAAAGATATGGAAGGTTTTCTGTGTAAATGGGGTATTAAGAATGTGCTATGTACATTGGATGAAGAGTCTTTAGTTTTTCCTTTTATGTTGAGTTGATAATGGGTTTTTGTTAGTTTGTGTTGTGTTTTTTTTGTGATTTGACAATAGGAATGTTAAATAAAGGAATTTAAAAATCAAAAATCTCTCTGTGTCCTCTCTCTCTCTCTCTCTCTCTCTGTCTCTCTCTCTCTCTCTGTCTCTCTCTCTCTCTGTCTCTCTCTCCCTCTCTGTCTCTCTCTCTCTCTCTCTCTCTCTCTGTCTCTCTCTCTCTCTGTGTCTCTCTCTCTCTGTCTCTCTCTCCCTCTCTGTCTCTCTCTCTCTCTCTCTGTCTCTCTCTCTCTCTGTGTCTCTCTCTCTCTGTGTCTCTCTCTCTCTGTCTCTCTCTCTGTCTCTCTCTGTCTCTCTCTCTCTCTCTCTCTCTGTCTTTCTCTGTCTCTCTGTCTCTGTCCACCTGTCCCGTAGCGGCGTAGTCCTTCAGCGGATGGACGCTGAGGCTCAGGATGTCGTCGTCGTGGCCGAGGTAGAACCGCTGGCTGTGCAGCTGCCGGTTGTAGACCACGCCCACCGCGGCCACATGGTACACCACCTCACCGCTCTGGGCGTAGAACAGGTTGTTCCTGCAGTCGTAACCACGGTAACTGGACACACACACAGCAGTCTTCTCTTTAAATTCAAGATGGCCGCCGGACCCCAGTCTGGATGAAGCTGAACTCAGATGTTGAAATCAAACACGAGCACGACAGTGGAGGTGTGATGATACGGGCCGGTTCTGCTCTAGTTATTCTGAGCTGGTACAGGTCTGGACTTTGACTAGGCCATTTTAACTGCATTAATCCAAACCATCCCTTAATACACCATGTTAGTTTTAAACCTCAGAGTTACTGTTGGTTCAGCTGATTCTGGGTCCAAACCGGGTCTTCAACTGAATCTGGTTCTGGTTCAGTTTAACCTTCTGATCTCAGTGAATAAATCAAATGGATTTATTAAAATGATGGATTATAATCTGATGTTATTGATCTTCAGAATCGATCGGTTCTACTGGACTTTTAATCCAGACATTTTGAAACCTTTCAACATCAATCTGGATTTTAATCTGATGAACTTTGACTGGACCATTTTCTCTCTGAAGACAGAATGTTTGATCTGAGTTTGCGATGTGGATCAGATTTATTCCAGATTAATAATCCAGACTGCAGCCCGTCTCCATGGTGACGTACCCGTGAACAAACTGCAGGCGCAGGCCCTGGTCCGGTCCGCTCTGCCTCTTCAGGGATCCGACCTGCTGCTTCTTCTCTCTGCTCTGTTGCTGCAGCTGCGGCAGGTCCTCCTTATAGACCTGCAGCACAAACACAGCATCAGGCTGCAGTCAGTGCTGCAGCAGCTGCTTCCTGTGGATCAGCTGATGGAGCAATGAGCAGGAGGATCTGTGCAGCAGCGCTTCCTCTGCAGGTCAAAGGTCAGGTCAGAGTCTCACCTGCCGCTCGTAGTTCATCTGCGTTTCCTGCTCGATGTCCGAGTCGACTCCGGGACGTCGGAGGCGTCGCTGTCCGATTCCTCGCTGTTGGAGTCGCCGAGATTTTCTGAGCGACAAACAAAGAGACACAGATTCTTTGTGTGGTTTCACCTTTGACCTCTGTGCTCATGTCCTTATAAAGGTTGTAGTGACATCATGTTCCATTAGACTGTGCTAGTTTGGATTGGTTATCTCAGTAACTTATGGCATCATCTTGGTCAGAGATGTAAAATTATTATCTGAACTGGTTTGAATGGTAGGAGAATAAAGTAAATCCAAGGAAAATCCGTTCAAATTACGGAATATCTGAGAGAACTTGGAGTTGCTGGACATTTTTCCAGTTTTTCTGCTCTGCTCTCATATCAATCAATCAATCAAATTTTATTTGTATAGCACATTTCAGCTACAAGGCATTTCAAAGTGCTTTACATCATAAACACAAAACACAGAAACATAGAATAAAATACCAAGTGTTTTTTTTTTTTTTTTTATGAAGCTCATCGGTCGGGAGTCCCTCAAGGCCGAGTCCTGGTTCCTCTAAAACTGTCCCAGTTTCACACAGATCCAAATCTTCAGCTTCTCACCCACAATGTGTCGATTTAACTCCAACCCTGAACTAATTTAACCAACCAGCATGACCAGTATGACCAGTATGACCAGTAGCAGCTCCAGGCTCCCTCTGAAGGTTTGGGATTATTGATCCTGTTGGATCTTGAAGGAAGTGAGGACTCATCAGGTAGTTTGTCCTTGCTGTCCCACCTGCTGTGTTTGCGTCCGGCGCGCCGCCCCGCCCCGTCCTCCGGCAGGAACCTCCACTGGAAGAGGGCGTGGTCGGCTCCGCCGGTGGTCAGGACGCTCTGCAGGTCGCTGGACCAGCGGACGTTGGTGACGTGCGCCGAGTGGCCCAAGTACTTCTTGAATTTGGCTCCTGGGAGATAAACGAGAGGCAGATTGTTGAGAGCGAAGCCGCAGGCGGAGCTGCAGGCGGAGCTGCAGGCGGAGCAGCCGACCTCTCCGCAGGCAGGGGAAGCGGTAGAGCTTCACCAGGCCCAGGTCGTCCCCGGAGACCAAGACGCCGGCCGATAGGTTGGCGTCCACCGCGTTGATGGCCGTTGAGTCAGAGTATTTGGGCCAGATGCCGCTGACCTCTGACCCCAGGATGCTGCTCCAGGAGGCCCAGCGCTGACCTTTCACCTCCTCGATGTTGGTGATGGGTTTTCCCACTGCAGGAGGAAGGAAAGCAGATCTCCACAAATGTTGCTGTTGTTATAGAAATGATCAATAACCATCATCCACAGAAAGCAGACAGAAAAACAAACAGCTGAAGTTAAACTGCAGGAACCTGATCGATCAGTGAAGAAGAGAAGGATGGATCAAACTCTACAGACTCTGATCTGATTATATTTATCTGATCAGATTGGATCGGATTGATACGGATTGATCACATCAGATCAGATCAATTGCATTGATCCAATCGTCACTCACTGGCATCCGGTAGAAGAGGCGTTCTCCTGCTCCATCGTTGCTCTGCAGGATCTTCCCATCCACAGTCCAGTCCAGGTGTGTGATGAAACTGGTGGATTTGCTGCATTCTCCCACCTGGAACCAGAGTAAAGATGGCTGCCAGTCACACCTGCTGGGTTTCCTCCACTAGAAAACTTTCTACCATCTGACAAAACTGGACAGTAAACTGGATTGCATAAATTTTTATCTCCTTTAACAGTTGTCTGGTTGGTTTTAATATTTCTGGAAACACACACACATCACTTCCTGCTGATTCTTTCTGACCTTCTTGTATCTCTGGGCGACGGCGTAAACGTCCACCAGGCCATCATTAGAGCCAACAGCCAGATACGCTCCGTCTGGAGAGAACTTCATCTCATGGATCACCTCCTTCCTGTCCTTGATGTGGACGACCTCCGTCATGTCCCTGAGTGGGCGGGGCATCCAGTCAGCATCACAGGAAAAACATTAGCATGATGCTAGTAAGCACCAGCATCTGGTTAGTATCACAGGGTAAACATTAGCATACTGTTAGCATCACAGGGTAAACATCAGCGTTCAATTTGGTTCAGAGGGCCCGTTCTGGTTCAAGGAGCCGGTCCGGGCCTCAGCGCTGTGTCTGGCTCACCTGACTCTCAGCACGGTGAAGGAGCCATCCTTCATCCCCAGAGCCAGCTGGGATCCGTCCAGGCTGAACGCCACGCTGCGGACCGCCTCCTCCATGTTGCAGCGCGCGATGAGGGTGGTCGACCAGGCTCCACAACCTGACACACACACACACACACACACACACACACACACGCACCCCCCACACACACACACACACACACACACACACATGCACACGCACGCACACACACACACACACACACACACACACCCACGCGCACACACACACCCCACACACACGCCCACACACACACACACACCCCACACACACGCACACACACACGCACACGCACCCCCCCACACACACACACACACACACACCACACACACACACACACGTTTGGTCCCCACAGATAAACAGGTCCCCACATGTATGTGTAAAGTCAGGCCAAAGTCCCCACTAAGGGGGAAAAACAAGAACACACTCAGGGGGTTCTCCCCCGTTTCAGGCTAAACACAAACTGATCTGTCTTCAGATCGAAGTTGTTTCCTCCAGATCAAAGTTTACTGATAGAGCAGAGTAAATGAAATGAAATAAATTCTGTCATGCTGTAGTTTCCCTCTCCACTGTTTCTCATTTCTTATCTTTTGTTTTTATACTTTCTCCTTCACATGACCCTTCATCTGCTGGTCAACCTGAATTTCCCCTCTGAGGGACACTAGATCATACAGTTAGGGCCAGAAATATTTGGACAGTAACACAATATTTGTGAGTTGGGCTCTGCATGCCACCGCATTGGATTTGAAATGAAACCTCTACAACAGAATTCAAGTGCAGATTGTAACGTTTAATTTAAAGGGTTGAACAAAATATGTGATAGAAAATGTAGGAATTGTACACATTTGTTTACAAACACTCCACATTTTAGGAGCTCAAAGTAATTGGACATATAAACATAACCCAAACAAAAAAGTTTTTTCTCAATTTTTTTTGTGAATCCTTTGGAGGCAATCACTGCCTTAAGTCTGGAACCCATGGACATCACCAAACGCTGGTTTCCTCCTTCTTAATGCTTTGCCAGGCCTTTACAGCCGCAGCCTTCAGGTCTTGCTTGTTAGTGGGTCTTTCCGTCTGAAGTCTGGATTTGAGCAAGTGAAATGCATGCTCAATTGGGTTAAGATCTGGTGATTGACTTGGCCATTGCAGAATATTCCACCTTTTTGCTCTCGTGAACTCCTGGGTACTTTGGCTGTATGCTTGGGGTCATTATCCATCTGTACTGTGAAGCGCCGTCCGATCAACTTTGCAGCATTTGGCTGAATCTGGGCTGACAGTATATCCCGGTACACTTCAGAATTCATCCGGCTACTCTTGTCTGCTGTTATGTCATCAATAAACACAAGACCCAGTGCCATTGAAAGCCATGCATGCCCATGCCATCACGTTGCCTCCACCATGTTTTACAGAGGATGTGGTGTGCCTTGGATCATGTGCCGTTCCCTTTATTCTCCAAACTTTTTTCTTCCCATCATTCTGGTACAGGTTGATCTTTGTCTCATCTGTCCATAGAATACTTTTCCAGAACTGGGCTGGCTTCTTGAGGTGATTTTGGGCAAATTTAACTCTGGCCTGTCTATTTTTGGAATTGATGAATGGTTTGCATCTACATGTGAACCCTTTGTATTTGCTTTCATGGAGTCTTCTCTTTACTGTTGACTTAGAGACAGATACACCTACTTCTCTGAGAGTGTTCTGGACCTCAGTTAATGTTGTGAACGGGTTCTTCTTCACCAAAGAAAGTATGCGGCGATCATCCACCACTGTTGTCTTCCGTGGACGCCCAGGCCTTTTTGAGTTCCCAAGCTCACCAGTCAATTCCTTTTCCCTCAGAATGTACCAGACTGTTGATTTTGCTACTCCAAGCATGTCTGCTATCTCTCTGATGGATTTTTTCCTTTTTTTCAGCCTCAGGATGTTCTGCTTCACCTCAATTGAGAGCTCCTTTGACCGCATATTGTCTGGTCACAGCAACAGCTTCCAAATGCAAAACCACACACCTGGAAACAACCCCAGACCTTTTAACTACTTACTTGATTACAGGTTAACGAGGGAAAGGCCTTTTGAGTTACTTGCAGCCTTTAGAGTCCATTGTCCAATTACTTTTGGTCCCTTGAAAAAGAGGAGGCTCTGCATTACAGAGCTATGATTCCTAAACCCTTTCTCCGATTTGGATGTGGAAACTCTCATATTGCAGCTGGGAGTGTGCACTTTCAGCCCATATTATATATAAATTGTATTTCTGAACATATTTTTGTCAACAGCTAAAATAACAAAACCTGTGTCACTGTCCAAATATTTCTGGCCCTAACTGTATTTCTATTATAACTATTCTGACTCTGCCCCAGTGCAGTACTGGTGTTACTGGGCGGCTCCCAGTGTGACACGGTTTCCCAGCTCCCACCTGACGGATCGGTCGTCGCTGCCGGTTACAGCCAGAGGTTTTTTGGGATGAACGTCCAGAGCCCAGAGTTCGCCCTCGCTGTGACCCTGCATGATGAGCAGCGGCTTGTCGCGCTCCCGCACCATCACCTGCTCACCAGATGAACACATGAACATAAACTCTGATGATGGAACTGTGGAAATGAAACTTTAAGCTTTAATGTTTTTTGCTGATAAATCTGTTCAGAGAAAACTAAAGATAAACTCTAAACCAGGACCTGCTGCAAACTAATCTCTGCCAAACCGTCAAATTGTTTGTGTATCAGTTTTATAATCATAGATCTGTTTGAAACACAAAATATGAAATTATTTACTGATAATGTAAGTCTTGTTTTAGTGAGGGATGAAGGAGCATTTGGTGCAGAACGAACATGAAAATATTCCATGAACAGAAAAATTATTTGCAGGATCTGAATGTTTATTACGGCTGATAGTCGGTGATGAATCTACATTAACCTTCATAAACCTTTAATTTGTGGCTGCAATTAGAGACTCTGAGCTGCAGAATGAAACACGTTTCTGTTCCTCCTCACCCAAAGATCTCGCTGTCCTGAGTTCCAGCCAGAATCCGGTCGGCTCGCCAGCAGACGCTCCGGATGGACAGACCTGGACCAGAGGAAACACGGTCAGACCTGAGTCCGTAGACAGGAAGGAGTTAATATGAAAACTAAACGATGCAGAGGAATACAGAATGGTAGAGGTAGCATGATGATGTGGGACTGTTAATCCAACTAACATGTAACTGCAGTTTGTTTTCATCTGCAGTTACCCTTGTATCCCTGCTCCGCCTCCCTCAGGTCGATCTTGGTGACGGGTTTGAAGTCGGCGTCCCAGAGCCGGATGCAGCCGTCTCTGCCTCCGGTGGCGAATCCTTCCTCACAGGAAAACAGGCTGAAGATCCCGGCCTGCGGAGGAACCGAGACCTTCAGGAAACACAATCTGAAGGAAATCTACATCTTTAATCATGAATCCTGCATAATGTTTCTGACATGTCGATCATTAAAGTCCATGGCGACGGGAAGCTCACCCCGTGGGCCGATTGGACCGTCTTCAGCAGCGTCAGGCCTTTCCACACGTAAACGTCTCCGTTGAGCGCGCCGGAGTACGTGACGTCGTCTTTAGCCGACGCCACACACAGGATGGTCTGCAGGTCGCCCGTTTCCCGAAGATCCCTCGCTTGGCGTCAGCGCGTTCCCACAGAGCGACCAGAACTACCGGGACAAACAGAACCGG